AAAAAAAAAAAAAAAAGTGTCATCTGACTCATCTCTGAAATGACCATCCAGGGCCAAGTCCCACAAGCAGCTTTGAGTTTCGCCGACGCCTGAATCTGGACGTTTTTGTAGAGATGTGCAGAAATGGCGTTGACCCGCACATCTCCACAATCACGTCCAGATTCCGGCTTTGGCGGAACTCAACCCTGCTAGTGGGACTTGGCCGCCCCACGTAAATTTCAGACTCACAATTATCGTTCAAGTTTGACTCAATGCCATCTTATTCCGCTGGAATTCGATTTCCAGCGGGTCTGTATGTCTCCAGAGTCCGTGGTGTACCACCTCAGCTACCTTCTCCTTCTCCCCCCCCCACACAATACAACGTACGGTCATTAAAGCTGTATTTACTATTTACTATTTAGAATTTGAGACTGAAAGATAGCCCAGATTCAGCTATAATGACCGTCCGTACGTTGTATTCGGGGGAAGACTGTTGCGCCGTTGGTATGAATTACGTTTTCTTTTTTTGCTTTTTTCTTTCTAACGACGACCGTCACGGCCTTCAGATATCATATCATCATTTAGTTAATTAACCGGCCCCACGGCCCCCACGTGCTCGTTATGTAAGAATGCACACGCTTAGAGCTACAATCGCGTTGCTTAGTCGAGTCAGGTCAGCCCCAGCTCTTTTCTTTTGCATTTGGCCAGTTGCTGGACATCACCCGTATGCATTTTGCGAGCTGCTGCTGCTTGACATGACCCCTATACCAAAGCTCGGCGCGAGATCCCCCTCCATTTACCTCTCTCTCTCTCTCTCTCTCTCTCTCTCTCTCTCTCTCTCTCTCTCTCTCGGACTGCCGCTTGACAACCTATTTCTAACGACCTGTCACGTGGCAGCTCTCTCTCTCTCTCTCTCTCTCTCTCTCTCTCTCTCTCTCTCTCTCTCTTTGTGTGTGTGTGTGTGTGTGTAGTCTCACGATGTCGCGGCCTCACCGTTGCGATCATTCCTGAAGCGCTGTAAATACATCGCCGCAGAGAGGGACAGCCCGCCAACGAGCCCGAGGACGAACCCGATCGATGATCAATAATATAATTATTTCAATTTTGATTTGTTTTCGAGCTGTTTTGGATTTGGATTTCGATTTGGATTGGGTAAGTATTTCAACAGTTCATTCGGGTGTGTACCAAGTACTACCAACTGAGCTAAGCCCGTCGATTAACGATAGTCTCTGTCGTATTTGGTCAAACTAAGGGCATATTCATAATTTCACACTACGACTTTCCGGAATGTATCGGACGTCAATTCCGGC